ATCGCAGCAAACGCAAGATCAGGCAGCTCATCGACCAGGCTTCTCGACCGAATACCATATGTTCGCCTTAACCCTACTGGTCGAAAAAACGCAGCGAGTGGAATCAGGCATTGTGGCTCGTGCTGGTAGAGTTCGAGAAGGCCTTCGACACGGTCGAATACGATGCGTTGCGGGGTGGTTTTCGCGAGTTCGGGATCGATGACTCATGCATTGAGTTGCTTCGGAAATTGTGCGCGGATCAGACTGCTTCTATTATCGTTGGAATTGAATCCCGCCCACTCAGCTTGGCAAGGGGAGTGAAGCAAGGAGATCCAGTCAGCGCTCCGTTGTTCATTGCAGTTATGGAGTTATTTTTTAGATCATTGAAGACCAAATGGCATGGCTCAACCGGAGACGCGGTGGACAATGCTTTGGTTTCGTGATAGATGACCAGGACGATCCGAACTCAAATCTACGCTTAGCAGATGACGTCGAATTAGTCCCGCGGACCAGACAGGACGCAGTGAAAATGTTAGACCACCCCCAGACCGCCGCGGCCAGATACGGGCTTCGAATCAATTTGGACAAAACAATGGTTCTCACCAGTGTGCAGAGCGACGCTGACGATTCCATGCTCGTCGGAGGCTTCCAGGTCGAGTTACTTCCACCGGGAGGGTCAGAGAAGCATTTGGGCCGCGTGATCAATGTGGAGGATTATGACGGCGCGGACATTGCAAGTCCCATGCCGACAGCTTGGAGAGCAGTTGCAAAGCTTCGAAAGGGGATATTAAAGCTGTTTGATGCAGTAGTCACTTCGATTGCATGTCAGAGGTGCTCGTGCTGGACGACGAAGGTGGAGTGCTGCCTGGCGCTCCCGAGGGCGCGGCGCAAGATGCTGCGATAAATAAATATGTCATACCCCCGTCAGACACGAGTAGGAATGGATCTGCTACGTCACAAGACCCACACGTCTATGCGAGCAGAAGGCCCGTGAACGAGGATTGCGCGACTGGGTCGAGACGCAGAAAACAGGGAAAATGCAGTTCGTCTTCAAGACAGGCACACGCACGACAGGAAAATCGAACAATAGACTGCTGGATTGGATCCCGTGGTTCCGGACACGCCAAGGCAGGCGCCTTGGGCGACCGTGCAAGCGACGGCCGGATGATCTCTGACGCGCATGAATCCGCAGGACCCCGCCCCGGACCCCGCTCAGGTCTCCGCCCGCGCAGGGCCTCATGCTTCGGGGGCGCGACCAGGGAAAATAATCGACCCTTGCATTGCCGCTGCGGCCCAAGACGGCGCATGTAACGCGAGCGTTCGTTCGCCCCTGTTTGCTTCCCCGCGTTGCCGTCTGCCCGACTTGCGTCTGTTCCGCGAAAGCCCCGTCAGGAGTGAGGGGTTGTACGAAGAACGAATGACGCCAATGTTGGCAGAGGAGCGCGGGGCCTGGGCTGGCAACGCGAGGAGGAAGAACAGGGGGGAAACTAGGTGGAGGAGGGGGAGGTGGAGGAGGAGATGGAGGAAGGGGAGAAAGATGTGGTGGAAAAGGAGGAGGAGGAAAAGTAAAAGGAAAATGAAAAAGAGGGGAGGAGGATGAGGAGGAGGAGGACAAAAACGAGGGGGAGGAGGAAACGGAGGAGGAGGACGACGATGACGACGACAAGTGTGAGAACATGCAGGGGGCAGCAGGTTCTCAGCAGGGCAGCGGAGAGATGATTCGCCAGCTTGCCCGACAAAGGCTTCGGACATGGCTTAATGCTACGTAATTGCTACCAGGGCGACTGGAGTGATGATGATGGTGGACGTGGTGTTTGCACGTTGTTGGGGCAACGTTAATGCTTGTGGTGACGGCAATGGATGGCAGCGGGGATGTTGCTGACGATTGTGGCTTCACTGATTACTGGGCGAAGCACAGCACGGGTTGTTCACGCGCTACAATCATGAGCTTTCGTTCCGGGTCACCTCCTGTTCAAGTATGTATTGGTAGCACTGGGCGAAGAGAGAGGATCAGAGACGCATTTTCCCATACTTACTTCAAACGAGTTGTGGGTGGACAAATTGAGAATATGATGTCGGCCTGGGCCCCCGTCGGACGAGCGCAGATGCGAGCGCAGTGGGGCGCGTGGTCGCGCGCGACCCGACGCTGGTAATATCGTGAATGCGCGGGCGTCGCGGCGACGACGACACCGACGGCGACGATGACGGCGACGGCGGCGACGACGACCATCGCGGCGACGGCGGCGACGGGGCCTGGGCCCACGGGCGAGGTTGCACCCCGCCCTCACTCATGGAGTCCCGCGCCAGATGTTATGAAAGGAGTGATATTTGCGTGCGCGATGTTACCCCTGTCGTTGTTCCGCTTTTACGAAGCTTTCGTTTCGCTTCTTATAACGGCGTTTTGTGGGAATGTATTGAGCGGCGCGCGCTTACTAAAGCAATTTCCTCGCTTAGCGTTGTTTCCTCTTTTGGATAATGTCGCTGACTCGTTTTAGTGAAGCCGCCCTTTCGTTTTAGTGAAGTCCGCGGCCTGCCTCAGTAAAGCCTTGGGGATGCGGTGGAGATGCGGGGCCATGGCCCGGTCGGGGGGTGGGGGCCTCTGTTTTCCATGTCAGTTCACCCCGCGATGCATTTGCAGCAATCAGGGTCGCGTTGCATCGGGTCGTGGCGACCCCTGCACATGTCTTCGGCGAGTTACGATGCCTTTCGATAGGAGATTCAGGGCGCGAACGCAGGACGTGCTTCGGCAATTCTGACGCGCCGCCGCGGTCGTCGCTCAACACAGCAAAGACACTTTACTAAAAGGTTTTTGCCTTTTGGCAATTAGCCCCTTCAAAGTAATCGTGTGAAGTGTCCGCCTCCAGGAGGAGCAAGACGAGGAAGAGGACGAGGAGGAAGAGGAGGAGGAGGAGGAAATGAGGAGGAAGAGGAGGAGGAGGAGGAGGAGGAGGAAAAAGAGGAGGAGGACGGGGAGAGGACATTGCGCCCCCAGTTGCAAAAACCCCGTCGGCCCGTCGTGGCCGAAGCCCGGACCGCGCGCGCCGAGTTGGCCCAGCCGGGGATCACGTGGGCGGCGGGCGTGACCGCTGCTATGAGGCGAACGTTGCCCTTGCAGCGGTTCGCGAAAAACGGCCCCGTTGAGTACTTGGGTCGTCCTGGCCCGAGTGCCACACCTGATACGTGAGTCATATTGACCACTCTGACGACGAGGCAGGGGCGTCAGTCGATGCCGCTGCCTTCTAGCAATCATTCCGCGCCCATGAGCCCTCTGTCGTCTGGGGTGGGTGATGAGCCTACGGACGCCGCGGTGTCGAGCCACTCGCCGCATTGGCGGTGGCGCTCCAGCCCCCCGCCGGCATGCGGGCTGCCAGCGGGTGGCGGTTGGAATCGCCCCGCAGGTTTTGGGGTGGTTCAGCAGTGTTCCCCCTGCCTCCTGGTCATATGTGTTGCGCCGTCGTTCTTGTCCTTCTGTGTCGTTTCCCCCCCCCACTTCGGAGAGTGTACGGACGTTACAGGTCTGGTTTCGGTGGCCCGCACCCCGCGGTAGCTCACCCGCCGTCACCTCCCCTGCCGCGACGATCGTGAAACGTTCCAACGTTTTCAGGATGCCCAAGATTGCCTGTTGGTCCACACGGGTTGGGGAAACGTTTCCCGCTGGATACGCCAGAAACCTTTGGACGTATCTTGAGCCAACCGCATCATGACATCATTCTCGTTCCAGTCGGTGGAGGGAACACAACCCCGACACCCAGAATTTGTGTTTTTGAGCAGCCCTCGGCGCTTATCAAACAGCTCCGCCTTGGTCGACTCCTTCCGGGGGTGCGTTTGCTGGGGGGCCTCGTTCGTATGGGGTGCTGGTTAGTATGCCAGGGGCTTCTATGCCCTCCTGAAGAAGGTGTTAGTTGTTTCATTCATTCCCAACTATCCTGTGGTGTTAGGCCCTCGTTTTGAAGAAACAACGCCCCCTCGTGTCCCTCTCCCTCCTCCTCCTCCTCCTCCTCCTCCTCCTCCTCCTCCTCCTCCTCCTCCTCCTCCTCCTCCGCATGTCCACCGTTTTGACGCACACCTCACGAGGATCGTGGCCCCATCGAGAGTGCCACCGAAGGCCCCAGTGGCAGGGTCCGCATACGGTCCAGTTCTCGGCGCACCACTTTCGAGGATCGTGGCCCCATAGGGGGATCGTGGACCCATAGGTCGCTCCACCGAAGGCCCCAGTGCAGGGTCCGCATGGCGGACTCGGGCCAATTCGGCACACCCCTCACGAGCATCGTGGCCCCACATGGAGCTCTAGCGAAGGCCCCGGTGGCAGGGTCCGCATGGCGGACGTGGGCCAGTTCGGCACACCCCTCACGAGGATCGCGGCCCCATACGGAGCTCCGCCGAACGCCCCAGTGGCAGGGTCCGCATGGCGGACTCGGGCCAGTTCGGCAAACCCCTCAGGAGTATGTCGCCCCACAGGGAGCTCCACCGAAGGCCTCAGTGGCAGGGTCCGCATGGCGGACGTGGGCCAGTTCGGCACACCCTTCACGAGGATTGTGGTTTCATAGGGAGCTCCACCGAAGGCCCCAGTGGCATACAACCGAGAGTATCACTGCTCGCCCGCGTCAGTTCTTTCTCCCCCTCATCCACGCCGCAGTCTTTTTTGCTGGGCCCCCATCCTTCAGCTCACCTGCCTCGCGATACTCGCAGCTGCATGTGGTCGGGCCCTTAATCACGCTAATATTGTTTGTTTTTGCCGATCGGCGCGGGCCCTCGCACCCCCTCCCTCTCCCTTCCCATGGAGTAGATATTGGCTTGTTTTAGCGCCTGTTTCAAGCAGGTGGAGGCTCCCCTGTAGGACGCACTGTTGCAAACAGTCGCATCAAGCAGAGGTCCAGAGCCAGGCCCGCCCCCCTTCCCCCTTTTTCCGCCCACCGTCGAAACGCCCAATAAGAAAACGTTCACAAGGGAGGAGGGAGGATGGCAACGGCTGCCGCCGTGTGCAGCTCAGCGGCGGGCCGCCTTGGCCGCCCACCCCGCAGGAGGGCGCCACGATCACGGTGCTCGAGGATTTCAAGTCCAGCAGCAAGGCACGACCCCGAGAGCGACGGGAACAGCGGGAAGATGAATGGTGATCGCGAGTGAGAAGATGAACGAGAAGGGACGATATGATAACCAATAAAAGGCAAGTTGCCGGACCGCCGGGCCCTCGACAGGGTCTTCTGGGCAGGCCAGGATGATGATACATCGTTCAAGCGTTCGGGAACGCCCGTTGAGTGTTCTGGACCATTCTGGAAGGGCCGCGGTGCCCGACACATCCTGCTGCAGCCTCGCAAGCCTTCAGAGATTCCAGATTTATCTCAATCCGAATGTGTATTAATGTTGCCTTCGTCTGCCAATCAAGACGCTAAACAAAGGCCGCCTTGGGATCAGGACGGGCTATGGTTCTCGGGCCGCTCCGTCGGTCTAGGTTTTTAGACGAGGTCGAGGTGGAGGAGGAGGAAAAGGAAAAGGTTCGAAGTTCGAGGTGTTCTTGCGGTTCTCCCCTCGAGTCGGGTTTGTCTTCACCCTGCCTATGTCTCAGACCTCTTGCACAACCCAATATGTTCATTTATAATTTTCTTGTCTAGCGCTGGCTAAAGTAAGCATGAGCCGGAAGGATGGAAAATTAACGGGGAGTTCGCCTCAGGACCCAAAGAAGCTGAAGGTCGAGGCGTCCGGGAGGATCGAGGAGATGTTCGAGAGCTTGAAAAACAGTTGGGGTAAACAGTTGGGGTATTGCAAACATTTTCTTGCTAAGCATCAAAGCTGCAGTAACAAGATCGTTCGTTTTATTGGGCCAAAGAAAATGGTGGTGGTGAAGGCCAAGGAGGAGGGGTCCGTAGAGAAGAAAGTGGCATGGTACGACGAGAGTGGTACTTGGCGCACTTCTTCGACGGCGCAATCCGTGAAGAAGGAGGTGGAGGAAACCATGGTCAAGTGGTGGTCACGGGTTGACCCGGAGCCGGGCACGGAAAGCGAGTGAACGTCGCTTGCCATGCGGCATGAGCCTCGCAAAAACGACGTTTTGGCGAGGAGTGGTACCAGTTTCAGTGCGACCCCCTCAAGATCGATTTTGGGACAAGCGGGGAGTGGAGGAGGAGGAGGAGGCAGAGGAAAGTATCAATATGTTTCTGGAGACGTGCCTTTCGGCATATCTTTGGCGCTGGTCGACACGCATCTCGATCTCCGCCCAGGCACGGCGTGCCAAGGCAAACCAGCATCAGCTCAGACACCCGAGAAGGAGACAGACCTGGCCATTTTCCACAGAAGCGTCAGTGGGCGAACGGACACCGACCGGATTGCAGAGCTGATCGCGGAGTTTGGCAATACAAGATGGGATTTTGTTACGATCAACGACACCATGCGGACGGAACAGATGGAATGTTGGATCACAGGGCACGGGCACGTTTTCATTACTAGTGGAAATCTGAAACCAACCCGTGGAGTGGCAATTTTGGCCAACACACAAAATATGACGTCATAATATAACATCGTTTCACCCTATCAACGAGCGGGTCGCATACGCCGACATCTCGGATAGCAAGTTTCACTTACGCCTTGTTGCAGCTTCTTTCCCTCACTCTGGGTATGCAGACGCACGCGTGCAGCAGCTTTACGACGTTTTCTCCGAATTACACAGCGAGCTGATCTGAACAACATGTACTTCGTCATCGGTGCACACATCAACGCACAAATTGGCGAAGCTCACGTTAGCCCCAGGGGAAGGGGCTGCGATATGCGAAACTGTCGCCACTTTCGAGGCCTGCTGGGGGGCCCAGCACAGTGACGCCACACGCATATTCAAATTTGACATCGCCATCCCTGGGGGGGCTGCGATCTGTGAAACTGTCGCCACTTTCGAGGCCTGCTGGGGGGCCCAGCACAGTGAGGCCACACGCAGACCCAAATTAGACCTCGCCATCGCTGGGGGGGCTGCGATCTGTGAAACCGTCGCCACTTTCGAGGCCTGTTGGGGGGCCCAGCACAGTGACGCCACGGGCAGATTCAAATTAGACCTCGCCGTCCCTGGGGGGCTGCGATATGTAAAACTGTCGCCACATTCGAGGCCTGCATGGGGGGCCCAGCACAGTGACGCCACGCGCAGATTCAAATTAGACCTCGCCATCCCTGGGGGGCTGCGATCAGCGAAGCGGTCGCCAGTGTCGAGGCCTGCTGGGGGGCCCAGCACACTGACGCCACACGCAGATTCAATTTATACCTCGCCGTCCTTGGGGGGGCTGCGATCTGTGAAATTGTCGCCACTTTCGAGGCCTGCTGGGGAGACCAGCGCAATGACGCCACGGGCAGATTCAAATTAGACCTCGGCGTCCCTGGGGGGCTGCGATCAATGAAACGGTCGCCACTTTCGAAGCCTGCTGGGGGGCCCAGCACAGTGACGCCACACGGAGATTCAAATTAGACCTCGCCATCCCTGGGGGGCTGCGATCTGTGAAGCTGTCGCCACATTCGAGGCCTGCTGGGGGGCCCAGCACAGTGACGCCACGCGCGGACCCAAATTTGACCTCGCCATCCCTGGGGTGCTGCGATCAGTGAAACTGTCGCCACCTTCGAGGCCTGCTGGGGGGCCCAGCGCAGTGACGCCACGGGCAGATTCAAATTAGACCTCGCCTTCCCTGGGGGGCCATCCGTGGGGGGCTGCGATCAGTGAGACGGTCGCCAGTGTCGAGGCCTGCGGGGGGGGCCCGGCGCAGTGACGCCACACGCAGATTCAAATTAGACGTCGCCATCCTTGGGGGGCTTTGATCAGTGAAACTGACGACACTTTCGAGGCCTGCAGGGGGGCCCAGCGCAGTGACGCCGCGGGCGGATTCAAATTAGACCTAGCCATCCCTGGGGGGCTGCGATCAGCGAAACGGTCGCCACTCTCGAAGCCCGCTGGGGGGCCCAGCACAGCTACGCCACGCGCGGACCCAAATTAGACCTCGCCATCCCTGGGGGGCTGCGATCAGTGAAACTGACGCCACTTTCGAGGCCTGCTGGGGGGCCCAGCGCAGTGACGCCACGGGCAGATTCAAATTAGACCTCGCCACGAAACTGTCGCCACTTTCGAGGCCTGCTGGGGGGGCCAGCGCAGTGACGCCACGCGCGGACCCAAATTACACCTCGCCATCCTTGGGGGGCTGCGATCTGTGAAATTTTCACCACATTCGAGGCCTGCTGGGAGGCCCAGCGCAGTGACGCCACGCGCGGACCCAAATTAGACCCCGCCATCCCCGGGGCGCTGCGATCTGAGATCCCCGCTTTCGAAGTGGCTAGGGTTGCTCAAGGATTGTACGTAATCAGCTTTATCTAGTCCTTGTCCTGTAGCCAGTGTCCTGCGAATCTCCCGAATTCCGTCTGCTGACATATGTAACCCTCGCTCCGTCATCGCCCCCTTTATGAAGTGTCCTAGACTATTTGCGCCTCGCGCTTGCGCAGGGGATGGGTACGTCGCCCCTGGGCCAGGGAACGAACGATCTCCAGAGGCCGAAAACGACGGAAAACTGGCCGAGCGAGCGAACCACGCGAGCATGCCTGTCGGCTGTTCGGCCCTGTGCAGGGCATGGGTGTAGAATTCGACTACCAGCCAGACAGCATATATGAAACGTGAGCAGAATGTGGAATTGGGAATTCGGAAACATGCAACAAAAGGGGGGAAGCGGGGGAAGGAGGAGGAAAGGGGGGGGGAGGAGGGAGGGGCATCACAACTTCATCATGCATCGCCTGTTTCAGAGAATATGCCCCGACTTGCGTGTAGAACTGTTTGAAGTCATCCATCCATTGCAGCGGTGGTCTGCCTCGTGCTCGTTTGTGAGCAAACTGCAGATGTCGAAGAACAGGCGCCCATTTCTCAACTCCTCCACAGAAGAGCCAGCGAGCCAGCCGCCACTTCAAAGAGAAAATCCTTTCCGACACGTCTGGGGAGGGCGCCGTGGACAGCATGTTCGACACGCGCGTCTGCATCCTGCGCATCGTGTCCTGCCAGTTTTCGCCTTCCGCTCTCCTCCAGCCATCCATATTTCGGAGCATCTTTGTCCGCGCTCCCCGGAGCATGGCGTGGTGGTGCAGCTTCAGCGCCAGGCTGGCCAACCCGTATGACACGACTGGCAAGACCGTGGAGTTGAAGAGCTTGATGCGATGACCGGCGCCAACATGCTGCCTCATCAGACTTTTGCGTTTGTTTTGTCTCTGAAATTGGTGCCATGCCGTTGATATCCTCCTCTTGACGGCAACTGTTGCCCTGTTTATTGACAAGTTGGGAGCTCTCCCGAAATATGCGTGAGATTTGTCCGGGGACAGCACGTGAAAACAGCGGCCTGCAATCCATTCGATTTCGCAAGTGCCAGGTGGCGCACCAACGCGTCTGGAGGATAAGATCTTGGTCTTCGCGGCGTTCAGTTGCAGCCCTACGGCTTGGAATTCATCAATTAAGTGCGAGAGCATGATCCTGGCGTCTTCCAGCGAACGGGCATAAAGCAAAACATCGTCTGCGAACCAGATGTTCGTGAAGCGTTCTGCCTGCCCTGGGAATTCCCACCCCTGCGTTGCGAGGCGGCCCTTCCACCGGTTGAACACCATCTCCACTACTGCGTTGAGTAAACACGGACTCGATACGTCGCCCTGGCGAACGCCCCGGAAGAGCTGAAAGACGTCGCTCGTGCCAACTTGGCCCGTTTGTCCCCAATACAGCTCTTGCAATATGGAAGCGTGCGCCTCATTTACACCTTGTTGCAATGCTGCTCCAATAACCGGTTCGTGGAAGACTTTGCCGAACGCTTCGCTGAGGTCCAGGCTCACGACCCAAAGGTCTTGCTTGAACGCGTGGGCAAATCCCGCCATGTGCTCCGCGCGGCGCAGGGCCCCGTCGGCGCCGAAGCCAGGCCGGTACGCCCATTGATCTTCCCCCTGCGGTGCTTCCAGCTTCGGCGAAATCCTCGACAAAAGCATTTTGGCAAGAACCTTGTACAATATCCTTTGCACTGCGATTGGGCGCCAATTTGAAGCTTTTGACGCGTCTCCTGGCTTAGGCAGCATTGTGAAAGTAGTA